TCCATTCTTCTCCTTCTTCTTCTTCTTCTTCTTCTTCTTCTTCTTCTTCTTCTTCTTCTTCTTCTTCTTCTTCTTCTTCTTCTTCTTCTTCTTCTTCTTCTTCCTCTTCCTCATCCTCCTTCTCCTCCTCCTCTTCCTCCTTCTCCTCCTCCTTCTCCTCCTCCTCTTCCTCTTCCTCTTCCTCTTCCTCTTCCTCCACCTCTTCCTCGTTCACAGTTCTACTCAAGACAGGAGAATTATCAGAGCTGGAAATGTACCGAGATCTTTAACTGCCCACATAAGAGCCAATAAAGCACTAGTAACTCTACAGACTTCTTGGAATGTACTCTCTGCAGCGAGGACAAAGCTACCTGAAGATACCTGAGTGTCACTTGCTAAATCTACACGCTACCATAACAACTTACCCAAGTAAGAGATACAGAAGGAAATCAAAAATAGAGACACCATGAACACAATAGCCGTTTTCTTAATTTTTTTTAAATATTTCACATATATTTTTTAAAAATCATTTGAAGAGTTCCATAAAATCTAAGAGAGTAGGTATTTTGACTATTAAATAATGGATTTTTAGTCAAAATATTTTAATTTTAGTGGTAAGCAGGAAATAGCACGAGAAATCCTGTCCAAGACTCATCAACCTGCTGCTACCAGCATATCAGAAATATATAGAGGTTTTCTAGAGAAAACTGGATCGTTGCCTCTGCCAGGTGCCAGATCATCCAGGCTTTGATGCCTGTGTGAGCCAGAGAACAGCTAACAGCAACAGCCTGGGTGAACAAGTGCTCAACAAGGAAGCTTGGCCAAACACCAGATTGGTAGGATAAATAAAATCCTCGAAACCGGTCACAGGTAGTCTTCCTCCTCTTCTTCCTTTTTCCTCCTCCCTCCCTTTTTCTCCTCCCCTCCCTCGTCCCCTCTTGTGTACCTTTCATGTGGTAGCGATAACGTTGGGAGAGGACGTCCCCTCGTCAAAAAAAAGAGGGGAAATTGTTGAAAATTAAGAGTGTGGGGGAGAGTGATTGATCAGGTGCGGGGATCATCACGGGATCTACCTGGCTTATTGGAGGTGAGCACCGCCCCCTGGGGATACCCCTGTGGTGAGTACCGCCCCCTGGGGGATACCCCTGTAGGGAGTGCCGCCCCCGGGAGAATACGTCGGTTGGGGGCTACCACTGACGCAGTATATACTCTGCACCATCCATGGAGCCATAGTCCAGACCGGAGAGACAGTCAGGGAAGAGGGAGAGAGAGAGAGAGAGAGAGAGAGAGAGAGATCAAGGTAGCGATATGGAGCCAGGGGGGGGGGGAAGGTATAGCCAAGAAGAGAGAGACACAGGGACGAGAAGAGAGAGACACAGGGGCGAGAAGAGAGAGACACAGAGACGAGAAGAGAGAGACACAGGGACGAGAAGAGAGACACACAAGGAAGAAGGGAAAGATGGGTACAAGAGCTAGGGTAAAAGGTATACGAGAGAGGAGAGACAGAGGGAAAGGGGATGGGTGTGATGTATGCCAATAAACAGTAACTTGTTCCGAGGTAACTTTATACAGCTTGCATAGATATCTTTTGTTGTTGTAATATCACTATGTATTGTAAGTTAGTACAAGCATTACCAGGATATTAAGTAGTGTTATGAAATCATCGCAAACAAGCTAAGTTGAATGACAGCTCCAGGCCTTTTTTGTTGCAATCAACACATCATCAGGAGCTTGCAGTGCTTCAGAAAAGAGGAGGAAGTCCAAGCAAATTCGTTCAGGGGAACGTATTTTGTTCATTCGGGTATCTTCACCAGGTGCCAGATCAACCAGGTTGTGATGGATATGTATGGGGCAGCAGACCTACAGCAGCAACAGCCTGGTTGACCAGGCAAGCACCAGGCGAGCTTGGCCCATGGCCGGGCTCCGAGAGTAGTATAAAGATATGTCAGTAATAATATTAATTTTCTCCCACAGGTAGGAAGAAAGATGTGACCATGGCAACTGCAGGTATGTACTGGATCTCCACCAGGTATGTTCTTAGTCTCCAGTTATGTTCTTAGTCTCCAGGTATGTTCTTAGTCTCCAGGTATGTTCTTAGTCTCCAGGTATGTTCTTAGTCTCCAGGTATGTTCTTAGTCTCCAGGTATGTTCTTAGTCTCCAGGTATGTTCTTAGTCTCCAGGTATGTTCTTAGTCTCCAGGTATGTTCTTAGTCTCCAGGTATGTTCTTAGTCTCATATTTCTTAGTCTCCAGTGTTCTCTCTACTCCAGGTAAGTTCTTAGTCTCCAGCTTGTTCTTAGTCTCCAGCTATGTTCCTATTCCCTCCTACCTTCCTCCCTCACCCTAGTTCTTACATTTTTCTCTCAGCTTCCTAACTTTGTCTTTACCTTCTTCCCTTACCCTTCTCCGTGTAATCTCTCTCCACTCCTCCACATCTTTTCTCCCTTACCCTTTCCTTGCTATCTTTCACCCCCTCCACTACCTATCTTTCACTTCTCTACCTATCTTTTTTCACTCATCCCACCTTCCTTATCTCACCTATCTCCCTCACCCTTCACCTTACCTATCCTCTCGCACTTCCTTCTTTCTATCTTACTCTCCTTACCTTTGTTCCTCACCCTCCTCCCTACCTTTCTCCTTATCCTTCTTTTTCTAATTTTACCCTCATGCTCCTTACACTTTCCCCTCGCCTCCTTCCCTTCCTCCCTCACGTTCCTCCTCACCTATCTTTCTTCACCCTCCTTACCTCACCTTGCTACCTACCTCCACTTCTCCCTACCCCCCCTTACCTCACCCTGCCCCACCTACCTCCCACCTCCTTATCCCTCTCTCCACTCTCCCTCCTCCTTACCTCACCCTGCTACCTACCTCCACTTCTCCCTACCCCTCCTTACCTCACCCTGCTACCTACCTCCACTTCTCCCTACCCTCCTTACCTCACCCTGCTACCTACCTCCACTTCTCCCTAACTCCTCCTTACCTAACCTGCACATACCTGCCCAACGCCGATCGGTCTACCTGCCTCCTATACACACCCTGCTACCTACCTCCACATCTCCCTAACCCTCCTTACCTCACCCTGCTACCTACCTCAACTTCTCCCTAACCCTCCCTATAAGAACATCACTAGCCCAACCCCATATCCTGGACGGCCGGTGTTAAGTCTATCCATCAATGTAAATCAGCTTAAAATTCATGAGGAGTGGGGATGGTAGCTCCAGACGGCGCAGGAGTGGGGGGTGGTGAGTGGGGGAGAAAGTGAAGAAGAGAGGGAGAGCGGACAGTGGGAGGAGATGGTTAGAAAGTAAAGGAAAGTAGTGGAAGACAGGGAGTGTAGACGACTATTTTTAGTAAAATTGGATACATAAGCATTGTGCTGTTAAACTATTCTATAAGACAGTTACACAGCGGAAACAAAAGTTAGCTGTGTTTCCCTGTCATGTTACATCATACAAGATGGGTCACATAGTGTCAGTCTGAGCTGGGAGACTTCAGTAGTGTCAGTCTGAGCTGGGAGACTTCAGTAGTGTCATTCTGAGCTGGGAGACTTCGTAGTGTCAGTCTTTGGAGCTGGAGACTTCAGTAGTGTCAGTCTGAGCTGGGAGACTTCAGTAGTGTCATTCTGAGCTGGGAGACTTCAGTAGTGTCAGTCTGAGCTGGGAGACTT